CCCCCATGGCTCCCCTGCCTGCCCCAGCTCCTGGTGCTTTAAAAAAAAAAAACCCCACTCACTGGGTGCTACCTGGCAGGAGGCAATCCCCATTGCCCCTCAGTGCCCCATGCTGCATGGGGGGATCTGTCATGAGCCCCCCAACCCCTGCCCACTCCTCCAGCCCCCACCCCCCAGCTTCCCTGCCTCAGCTCCGGCCCTTTAAGAAAAAAACCCCCAAACCCCCTGGGCTTACCAGTTCCTGCAGCAGCCTCAGGGCTTCAGGGGGCTCAAGACAGAGCCCCCCAATGCAGCGGGGGGCAGTGGGGGGCAGCGGGGATCACTCCTTGCTGGGCAGCAACCAATTAGTGTGGGCTTTTTTTTGCCTAAGAGCCGGGAGCTGGGCCAGGCAGGGCAGCCATTGAGATCAGGTGGGGAATGGGGCCTGTGTGATTCAGAGATTCAGCCAATTTGGCAGCAGCCAAATCTCCGAATCAGATTCGGCCAAATCGATTCGGGACAGTGATTCGAATCATCGAATCGAATCATTGTCCCCCGAATCAGCCAAATCTGAATCCGAAGTGAATACTAGTCGCTTTGCACAGGCCTACTTGTAGAAAACATGCCAGAATAATAAAAAGATAGCTAAATAATGCAAAGGAGTATTGTACTGATCCTTATCTGTAGTTACTAAATTATAAAGCATTTCCTTTAAATGAACTCTTATTTAAGGGGAAATTTAAAATAAAATTACTTAATTTGGTAACTACTGATAAGAAACAACAAATTGATGCAAATTCTTACAAGATCCATGATAGATATAGACAAAAGCTTTATTATGACAATAGGGTCATGAAAACTAGAACCTTTGCTACCTCAAGCTAGGGTATGTGTGCATGGTGGTAAAACATGGATACAGGAGGCAGTTGTCACTCATGAGGTAGATCTTATGAAGTGGAAACAAGTGAAGGAAATGTCTCCAGAAGGAACAGGAAACACCTGTAGCACATCCAGGAAGAACAGGAGAAGAAACAAACAGTGTCCAAAGTAAAGATGGACATGGAGGAGACTACAGCACAGATGGACCGAGACCGTGCAGAGGCTAATGTGATGCATGGCAGATCTGCAAGACTGCAAAGGGAACCACAAAAACTGATTGAAAATTGTTAGTTTATTAAAAAAACTGAATTATTTGAACCACAAACCAATATATTGTTATTGGTTAAAATGGGTTTTGCTTTTACTTGGAAAGGGGAGATGTAAGGACAGTATGCCTTCAAGAGCTAGGCAGAATTGGACAGAGCTGGAGAAGAGAGTCTGGTGGCTGCCTGGGTGCTTGCAGCATGAATAGAAAAAACTCTTTGAAAAAGTGGCTCCTGCCTCAGTGAACTGAACCCACAATACAACACAGGACATCATCCAGTGGGTGTTCTTAGAGCACTCATACAGCTTGGATATGTGGGAAGAGTTTTGGCAATGCCATTTTGTCTAATACTACCCCATTGTCAGACAAGATGTGGGGAACCCAGGTTTAGTTTTGTTCTTTAACCTACATGTCCCAGGTAAATGCTTAAACCAGCAGACTACACACTATAGGGCAGGGGTTGGCAGCATTTTTTAGTAGAGTGCTAAAAACACCTACAACCTCAACTTGTAAGATGTGGGTATACCAGGGTTGGGGGAGCCATGACAGGGACCAGTCCTTGTTGTGGCAGCACAGCCCCAGTCTCTTCCCAGCTGTCCACCCCGAGGTGCATATGCCAAGCAAAATGTCATTGCGTGCCATGCTCTGGCACCTGTGCTGAAGGGGCCTACCCCTGCTAGAGGGTGTATCCTTGAAGGAACTTTCTTATTTCTTCCTATTGAATCTGTTCCACTCTGCATGAAATAATTAGATTCATGGATGAGAGAGAGAGAATGGATGTGACTATATAGGGTGAGTCAGTGGTTCTTAAAGTTTTTGCATTAATAGGCCATTTTCAAACCTCAGCATTTCTCCCAGACTACAATGCACCATTTAATCAAACTTTAATTGAAAATACTACATAGGCAGTGTAACTAAAGACAGGGTTCTAGGTGTTTAAAATTTCTATCTTTTTTTTTGGTGAAGTAATAATGAGATTCATATTGCAAAAAAACAGTAAAACAGTGCAGCAATGGTGGATTGAATTGACTAAAGTTTTAGTTTGACTCTGGCTCCACATCCAGCTTATATTGGTGCTTTGCGATGCCTACATTTGTAGAAGTGGATTTTTCTGTACTTTCTTTGACTTCAAAACAAAGTGGCATCAAATATGCAATTGTTTTGGCCAAAAGTTCTGTGTAGTCAGACTGGGCATAGGACAAAAATTCAGTTATTATTCATTTTGAAAACAGTAATTTTAAAGAGCCATTACAGTTCATGGGTGAGGGTCATGGTTGGCCTGTTGGAGACCTGTGTTGTCCCAGACTCTTCTTGGCTGTTGCTCATGTTCCTTGCTGCAGCCAAGCAAGAGACTCAAAGATCCAGGTTTCTGATAGCCAAAGTCATACTTCTCACACTGAGAGCCTTTCTGACCTACAAAGTAAATTTGCAATAGCTTCCTATAGTCTTGCTCACAGGACTCCTCATTGGTCCAGAAATTTAGTGGCAGGACAAGCAACAGCAGCTTTAATGAAAATTCTCAAAAGACTTTCCCTCTTTGGGATTTTTTGGTACTAACGGGTTAAAGACGAGCAGCTGATACTAAGAGGGGAAGTCATTGCAGCAACAGAAAAAGTTTTCCTGTGTGGTTGCAGAAAATCTAAATACAACTTTTCTATGTAAGGAGTCTGAAAAAAATATTTTCCTTCTGTGCTTGTTTCTTCTGGCTAATAAGAATACATTGGCTTGGGTTTTGCATCAGCTTTTGAGGTGTGTGTAAGTTTTAATTTTATTATAAAACCCAAAAGCAACTCTGTTCTACTTGTACAGATTTAATTCTTTTTTTATGACTAATAGTAGTGTACAAATTGACCAATAAGGTCTCTAGATTTTGTTTTATTAGGCAGCTCATTGCCACAAGTGGCAACAGTGTGTATCAGGTAGATTTGACCTACCCATGTCAGAAAAGTCATGTTACCAATCTGGCAAGATGTGCATGTAGCTGCCATATGGGAATCCAAAATGACTGCCATGAATTCATGTTTTGATCAATATTTCAGCCCCCACTAGGATTGGTTTTGTCATTAATCCCAGTGATTAAACCAACATTGTATGAACCGAGGAGATCATAACATTTCTGTTGTGATAGCCATATTGGATTCCAAGCTGGCTGACACATTAGCATGTATGCATCAGCTCAATGTAATTAAAAAACTTAGTAAACTGTAATACTAAAACCTCACAAATTCTATCACTACAAATTTCATAACAGGCCTACAGTACTGAAAACATTACAACTCAGGCTTGCCTACTGGTTCAAGTTATATCGAATAAAACAATATAATCTTTTTTATTTCAGAATGTGGATGTCAGATACTAATAATACATAACTCAATGGCAAAGAAACACACAAACATATTTTCAGCTCAAGGCAATAGGAAAATCCAATAGTCTACTCTAATGGTAATATAATGGTAATACAGTGGTATATTATAAGGAGAGAATAAATCAGAAATCAATGGATTGATATTGGATTAGGCCTAATTGACAGAAAAAGTAACAAAAGGGACTACAGTTCCATAAAGAGGAGGTCATTCTTACAAGTTACTGCTAACACAGACTAAGGTGCATGCAAAGTCCTTTTTTGTCTGTAGGCCCCAGTTGTCACAGCATATTTCACTTTCCTCATGTGTTGTAAGTTGTCAGAGAAGCCTGAGGACCTAACAGTTTGACTGTGGTTTTCTGGTTGGTGGCAAGTAGGGAGGCATTGTGACACTCAGCACTGTAATGACCATGTTCTTCTGTAGATCTAGCCCAAATCCCCCACTAATTCCATCTGCCATCCCCATGAGAATATGTACAAAAGCCCAAGAAGCAGTGGAAATACTGTGCTTCCAATACAAGGTGAGATGAAGGTAGGTAGTCAGAAGAGACCCTAGCTACAAGGATTTCTTTTTATCTTCTGTGAATGGTTGTCGGTATGAAGTAATGATGCTGAGTACAGTGTTATTGAATTGGGGAGGAAATAAGAGGAAAAGGATTTTTCATACAAGCTATTGCAAGACTTAATTAAAGCAAATCATGATTCTAAACTTTGCTGAGGCCTGAGAATTGGCCTGAGACTTTAATACACAAGTCCTCCAGAGGCTTCCCAGGAGGGGACTGCAGTGTGATAGCTTTGCCTTCCTCTCTGGGGACAGGGCTGCCCTTGCCCTGTCAATTTCTGATGGCTGCCACAAAAGGGTATGGGTCACAGCCCCTTCCCTAAGCAGCTCCTTCCAAGTTACCAGCACTCTGAAATACTGCCCAGATGAAGCAGTGGCAAAAATGATTCATAATCAAATTATTTGTTACTTGGTGGCATACTATGTCAGATTAAAATATTTTCTTAATATTTAGAATCACTCTGGACTTCTTCCAAATGCTTGTTTGATCTAGCTGTAAGTGGGTCCTTGTCAGTGGCTGGGGGCCCAGAGGTGATGGCATACAAATGCTAACTGGATCACAGCCTTGTGGACTGCTGGCTGCAGAATTGTCATGTCTTAACCATGTTGGCCAAATGGGACTTTTAGGGTAAAGCAGTCCTGACCATCCTGGACAAGAAAATTGTTATTCATGTAATAATTAACAGCATTATATGTCATATATTCTATTTATTTATGCTGTATTAAAATACAATAATTGTTAATGTAAACAAGGAGAATAGAGCATATTAGCAATGAATTAATTATTTTCAATGAATTATTTGACCAATATAAGATGTACCAGTGGGAATGAGGTTTCTGGTCCCTGGGGTCCTTACGGTCTTTTTTTTCCCCTCATTTGAGAACATGTCTGCTAAAGAATATACACTTTAACAATAATTATTAACTAGAGCGTGCATTTATTTTCCTAACAGATAACGGCTTTCAGAAACCAGAGTAAGTGGAACAATCAATTCTTCTTGGAATATCAAAGGAAGTTAGATGTTATCACATGAAATTGATGCATGTATGGCATTTACAGTATTTAATGTCAAGCTATACCTTTGATTTGTTAAGCTGTGCTACTTGATACAACTGAAAAGCAGTCTTTTTTTAAGTCATGGATCAGAGTTTTAGAAAACGTAGAGCAATGAGAACTAAACAACCAAGTCTTCCTAACAAACATTTTCCCTTTGTGTCTATCCCTGTCATCACTAGTCACTAGCATTATTTTATTGTTTTATTTATCTTGCATGGCACCAGGCCAAAATTGAGGGTGCTTCTCCTCCAGCAATTCCTGAAAGTTTCTTGAACGCACAGGGGTCCTATTGGGAAAACAGATTTCATATACATAGCACTACATAGATCACGAGCTTAGGCTTCAGAAAGTATACAGGAGTACTATAGTTTCAGTGCATTGCTACATTTTTTTTTAAATGTCAAATAAACTCAAAAACCCAGAGTCTCCATTCTAATCATGGTGCTGTGAAGCAGAAGCTAACTATAGACTCACCTGCTTAAGTCTGCATGTTTTTGAACCACAAAATATTTCTTCTTGGTGGAGAAAAGTGCTGAATATTGGCAGCTGCTTCTTTGACCTATGAAGCACCAACCAGAGGGCAGTCTTGGACAGAGTGGTTTCTACAGGATCAGCGGCATGGGGGATTTTATGCAGTCACTGGTTTCCATTCTAACATACCCTCCCCCACTGCCCCAGCATGATTGGGAGTGAATACTCAGGCCTAAAAAACAGTATGTTCAATATATATTGACAATTAGAGCTGTTCTACAATGTGCAAATGCTTAAAACTTGCAGAAAAAAACAATATCAGATAGCTGGCCAAGAACCAGTTTGAGTGTCAAGTCTAAACCATGTAGAATTTTTTAAAAATAAAGCTGTCTGGGTAAATTTTCAATGTAATATGTGATACTGGAGATTAAATGAAGAGAATAAAAGATTTATGCTAAAACTTCTAATTTGCTAGGTATTTCTGTATACATGAGGAACCTCCTCCAAAGAAGAAAAAGGGGGACAAGTGAGTTAAATTCAGTTCACTGTATAATCATTATTATTGAAGAGAACATAAACTTCATGTCTAGAGAGTGCATCTCTTAACTGTACATTTTACTTTCTAAAAGGTCATCGAACAAGAAAGAAAACAGTATCCGGATTGGCTTCTTTGAACTGGTAATGAAAGTGCTGGATTAAAATATTGCATATATATTATTCTGTGGGGTTATTCACATTAATTTTTATGGTTGTAATACTATGTCACTGTTCAGTCAAAAATTCTAAGAATTAAAACATCTTGGGTGAAAACTTGCCCCATTTAACTCAGTAGGAGTTTTAGCATCGACTAAAATACAATTAGAATTTCACCCATAAGGCCTGGATTCAGGACACATTTGTACTGGTATAATTATACTGGTTTGTTTGCAACATAGTCTGGAGCAACTAGACAAACAGCTATCCTGAGCATAGGGTCTATTACAGTGCTTATCAGTAGGTGGGTATGGAAAAGATAGTAGCCTGTTTGCCTGTAAGAAATGGCTTTCCTGTGGTAGCTGTGGACACACACCAGTTATAACTATTTATTTCTCACTAGGGTAGTGAAGAATATGATTAATAATGTTAATAACTATAAGATTTACAAAATAACAATATTTTCACCCTTTTGCCCCCTCCTGATTTCCCCTCTCCCTCTTTCTCTTTGTTGAAAATCTTTTCTTTTTTGAGCCTGAGACAGCACTATTTTGGCAGGATAAAATCACTGTGGGAAAATCCTCAAGAGTAGAACTATCCAAATATAAGGTGGGGTGCAGACAGGAGTAACGTTAAAAACATTTTAAAAGGTAGTATTTGTAGGGCCTTTTGGCTGGAACACTTCAAAGTAAGTGTGGTTGCATGCAGCCATGTGCTCTCCAGTTGTGGGGTGCTACAGGGGGTGGGCTCCATGCTCTATTCTGTTGCAGCCCTATGACGCTATAATGGGTCTTATACCAGGCAAGGAGACTAAGACACGGTTGTCCTAAACTAAAAATAAGTTTATTAAACCTTAACTGGAGTAGATTCATAGGATGCTAGGGTTGCAAGGGACCTCAACCGATCATCGAATCTGACCCCCTGCCTAGGCAAGTAAGAGTGCTGGGGTCAGATGACCCCAGCCAGATGCCTATCCAGCCTTCTCTTAAAGACCACCAAAGTAGGGGAGAACACCACCTCCCTTGGAAGCCTAATCCAAATTTGGACACCCTTACCGTGAAGTTTTTCCTGATATCTAGCTTAAATCTGCTCTCTGTCAGTTTGTGACCATTGTTCCTTGTTACCCCAAGAGGTGCCCTGGTGAACAGAGCATCTCCAATCCCTTGCTGCATTCCCCTAATGAATTTGTAGGCAGCCACAAGATCACCTCTCAGCCTTCTCTTGCAGAGGCTGAAGAGGTCCAGGTCCCTCAGTCTCTCCTCATAAGGCTTGTCCTGTAAGCCCCTAAGCATACAAGTGGCCCTCCTCTGGACCTTCTTGAGTCTATCAACATCCTTCTTGAAGTATAGCGCCCAAAACTGGATGCAGTACTCCAACTGCAGTCTGACCAATGCCACATAAAGGGGAAGTATCACTTCCTTGGTTCTATTTGTCATGCATCTGGTGGTGCATGATAAAGTGCGGTTAGCTTTGCTGATGATTTCGTCACACTGATGACTCATATTCATCTTGGAGTTATGACTCCGAGATCCCTCTCTGCTTCTGTGCTGCTGAGAGAGTTGCTTCCCAGCCAGTAGGTGTGCTGGATATTTTTGCACCCTAGGTGCAGCACTCTTCACTTGTCCTTGTTGTACTGCATCCTATTGTGTACTGCCCACTTTTCTAACTTGTCCAGGTCTGCCTGTAATTGTTCCCTACCCTTCGAAGTGTGCACTTCACCCCACAATTTAGTATCATTCACAAACTTGGACAGAGTACACGTCATGCCCACATCCAAGTCACTGATGAAGATATTGAAGAGTACAGGTCCAAGGACCAAATCCTGCAGGACCCCACTACCTGCATCCTTCCAGTTCAATACCAACCCGTCTACTACCACTCTCTGGGTGTGAACGCTAAGCCAATTTGCCAGACTGTGTAAACATCTATGTCACAGCCTCTTAATTTATTTATGAGAATGGGATGAGATACCATATTGAAGGCCTTGCTAAAATCCAAGAAAATGACATCCATCCCTATTCCTGCGTCTAAACATTTTGTGACCCTGTCATAAAACAAAACCAGATTGGTCAGGCATGATCTACCTGCTACAAATCCATACTGGTTTCCCTGCTGCATTATTTTTCCCACTGGACTCCCACATATATGATCCTTGATAGCAGTTAAAAATTTTAGGTTTGTAGCTAGTCAAAGTAGATGCTTACCACCCCAAAATGTTGCGAACACAACTTCACTGGTTGATCAGGCCATGAAATCTTGTCCGGGGCTCCTGGCCCCCACGTCTGATGTCAAGACACGATCTTGAATCGGTGAAAGAATCTCTTCAGGCTTTCTTCAGGAGTGTTCCAAAGGGTACACTCTTCCACTTCTCTTTATACACAATATAGCTTGCATTTCTTAATACATAAAATTAACTTAAGCCTTCCTCCTAATGTATATTAATAATCTTGCTTCTGTTTGCCAAAAATACCTTTAACTGGAATTTTCTATTCTGAGGTAATCTTTTCATTCTTAGGTGGGGGTAAATTTTTTCTGACTGTTTGTCTTTTGCCCAGGTTATATTTATTCAATTTAGTTAGCCAAATTCCTGATTAGTTTTAAGTCAGGGACAGTATTTTTCCATCTGCTCCTTTCACTGGGTGCAGGTCTTATCCACAGTTTAAGCTAAACATGCAGCTTGAGCTGAGCACAAAGGTCAAACCCAGGCCTGAAGGCCTCTGTGTCCCAACAATTCCCCCCTCTCCTCAAGCCCAATGGAGTGGTGGGAAAAGAGCAGGCTGTCAGTGCCCCTCTGTAGTTCCCCTTCTCCCAGAGCTGTGGATCTACTCTCCTCCATGGGATGAAAGGGAGTGGGGTGGAGCCAATGTCAATGGATGCTTTCCTTCCATTCCGCTGACTACCTGGCTGCCAGAACCAGGAGACCAGAGACCATGACCTTTCTTCAACCCCTGCCTACCACCCTGCTTGGAACTGGAGATATATGGGAATTGGAGACTGGAGATCCAAAATCCTGACTCCAGCAGTGGGGGGTGTGCGGGCCGGGAGCGGTCCGAGGCCCTCGGGGGCGCGCAGCGGGCTGTGGCCCGCAGCCCTGGCACGCGGGGCGGGGGATGCAGGG